TTAACACTGCACTTTAGCGAATGAATTTTTCGTTTTACATTTCAATTTAAACTAGAGCCAAAAATTCAAAAGATTAAATAAAGCTTTCATCGGCAATTGTACAATACACTTGCAGCACGCTTTGAGAAGCTGACAAAAAAACGATTAATTGGCATTAACTAGGAGTGCAGAAATAAGTGGATTAAGGGGGGTGTGGTCAGGGGCTTTCAACCAATCATTACTTCGTGAACAATGATCACAAGGAAGCGCATTGGTCATTTATTATACTGTCAGTGGGTTCCAACACAGCTATAATAAATTGTTCAGAAAAACATTTATGTTGTAAGCTATGGCATTATGAAATTTTTATCGGTATTTTGGGAACTTTTATAGTCAAAAATAGCAAAAAGAAGGATATCTTTTTTACTTTCTCTTCCAAACCTATTCATGCAATACATTTGGACGATAATACAACGTTTCGCCACTGGTTGAGGTAAAGAAATGATTTATGGATATTGCCTGAGCCCGGGAAGACCTAAGCAAGGAAAGCTTAAATTTACTCGTCAACAAAGAAAAGTGGCCTTCTTTGTCTGAAAAATTAGAAAAGAAAATAGCATTTGTCTAAGCGAATTACAGTTTCTTGCAAAGATTATTGCATTCTCATTTCTCAGGGAAGTTTATCGTCGAAAATAAATTAAAATGCCATATTTAAGTGTAATAGCAACAATACTACACAAATTGACAAAAAATTTTAAATCTTTTCAAGAATTTTTCTATGCCACTCGTTATTTGCAAGACTTTTTTGCCAAATCTAATTTGTGACAGTCAATTGTAAGAGATTTGGACCTCTCTTAAATTTCCAAAGTACTTGTTGCCTGTTGCTGCTACGAGTACAGATAACGGTCATCTGGATTCAGTAAAATACCAAGTAACCAGTAAAATTCAAATGTCTGAATGATTTTTCTTGTTTTGGATTGCTTATATTACAAACACCCCTTATCACTGCAACCTGGAACCTTTAGTACAAGCCGTCCTCTCCTTCGAGTTTCTGCAAAACAGCAATTTTTTGTAAACATATCTTCTGCCATCAAATTATTTGGCAAAGAGGAACGCTTTTAATACAAAGCTATTTAAAAGATCTTTGCTATTTAATTTCTTTTTGGTTTATCCACTTTTTGAAAAATTCTAGGATGCGAAATGCTCTTTATAATTAACAGTATATATATATATATATATATATATATATATATAT